ATTTATTTCAAATGGCAGGCGTTTTGATAGATATCATTAGCCATTTAGCTGACTTCGGGCTTCACAGAGGGAAGGTTCATCAAAGTAGCAGAAAGTCGAGGGGTGGGGAACAGAAGAGCGATTCACAGATGTAAAAGAGGCAGACAGACACGAAGGTAGGGAAAAAGGTAAGATGAGTATTGTGGTAGGGGTCGAATATGACAAGCAGTCGGGCCATGGTATTTTGAAGTCAGAAGTCAACTGTCGGTTAATAGACTTTTTTGCCGTATGAGTATACGTTGCCCAGGGTGCTCCACGTGGAGGTAAGTCTATCGCACACCCCAGAATTGCGTATTTATTACTGAGTTACTGGCGCTTGTCAATACCTACCTTCTAAGGGAATAAGTGTGACAAGTTCGCAGTGGTCCACAAATCGTGTTTTACCTGACCAGTTATTAGAATCTAATTCTGTTTGCAAATGTATAATGCACCTCACTTTACTTAATCAAAACCTCTAAGAAAGGTGTTCATACAAAAGACTAGACCAGTGAGAAAATTTCCTATTGTCGTCGAAATGGGTAACGCGGTCCTGGGGGTTGACAAAATTGACCTTTTACAGTTGGCCTGTCGTCTCACCGAATGCTCATTGATTTTGAAAATTCAAAATATCAAACTAAATGACATTGTTTATTCCGAAGTATTTATTTATATCAAATGGCAGGCGTTTTGATAGTTATCATTAGCCCTTTAGTTGACTTCAGGCTTCACAGATGGGAAGGAATATCGAAGTAACAAAAGTCGAGATGGGGGGGGGGGCAGAAGAGGGTTTCAAAGATGTAAAAGAGACAGACACGAAGTTAGAAAAAAGGNTACTACTATAGATACCCTTCTGCAGAGGGAATTGGTTATTCCATAAAATAATCAATTTAGATAAACTGAATTATTCACTGTCACTTGCTCGGATCAAGCTGCATTGCACGTTTAGTAAATTAATTAGATTTGTACTACCAGGAAAACACAAATTTTACCCCAAAGTGGAGAATGTAATCATTATCTCTTTTTCTTTTAATGGTCTTAAATAAGATTAAAACTTCAGGAAAATGTATTTAAGAACAAAAAATCTTCTTAAATATGCACACCAAAAAAATCACATTAGAACATTAATGAAAATTGATCGGGTTTTTTTTTCATTGCTAAGGGAGGGAGTTGNACCCCAGAATTGCGTATTTATTACTGAGTTACTGGCGCTTGTCAATACCTACCTTCTAAGGGAATAAGTGTGACAAGTTCGCAGTGGTCCACAAATCGTGTTTTACCTGACCAGTTATTAGAATCTAATTCTGTTTGCAAATGTATAATGCACCTCACTTTACTTAATCAAAACCTCTAAGAAAGGTGTTCATACAAAAGACTAGACCAGTGAGAAAATTTCCTATTGTCGTCGAAATGGGTAACGCGGTCCTGGGGGTTGACAAAATTGACCTTTTACAGTTGGCCTGTCGTCTCACCGAATGCTCATTGATTTTGAAAATTCAAAATATCAAACTAAATGACATTGTTTATTCCGAAGTATTTATTTATATCAAATGGCAGGCGTTTTGAGAGTTATCATTAGAGAGGAGGAGGAGGAACACCAAAGGGACAAAAGTCGAGAGGGGGCAGAATAATGATTCATAGATGTAAAAGAGACAGACAGACACAAAGGTAGAGGAAAGGTAAGATGAGTACTGTGGAAGGGGTCGAATATGACAACCAGGGGGTCGTGGTAGTTTGAAGTCAGAAGTCAAATGCCGGTTAATAGACTTTTTTGCCGTATGAGTATACGTTGCCCAGGTTGCACCACGTGGAGGTAAGTCTATCGCACACCCCAGTTTGCAAAATTAAGTTAGTGCAAACACTGTAAAAGAATTACTTGCGATGAAGTCCGTCGGGTTGTTCTTGGTGCGTCTGTGTGTGATTAGCAGTTTCTCTTAAGAATTCCTGTCCTCTTTTTTGAGTGTATGTACCATGTAGGTGTGTAATTTATATTAAAGTACTTAGGCTTTTAGTTTGGTTAATTTTTCAGTTTTCAGGAGCTCTAAATGCACTTACTAGAATCACCCTAGTTGTGACGCTTTTGGAGATCGTGAGGCACTTCATTGGAAGAATTGGTCCTTCACAGCTTAAAGGTCATAAAAGTAAAATTTCTATAGAACCCCATTCATTAGGCTAGTAATCCCCGCCAGTCGAGATAATGGCCTGGAACTAACGAATAGCAACAGTCTTTTCAAAGCGAGTGCAAATTAGGGTGAAGGGATTTTGGATTTGAAAATGTATTGAGCGGAAAGAGGAATGCGTCTTTATGGAGCAACGATTAAAGCAGTTGTCCAGTGATCGGGAAAAGGTTAGTCAGTATGCAAGCAATGTTCAGAGAAACTGAGGAGGCCTGTGGATCAGTCTCCAGTCTGTGTGACACAGATATAAAGCAGTCATTTTCAATATTAGCAACTATTTGCTTTTATTCATAGTAATTTTACTGAAGTAGGAATGACAGCATTGCTTCTTTCCTATGTGGAAGTCATAAACTACCATTCTTTCGACTGGAAACCATCGCCATTGGACAAAAAAAATCAATATAAACTTTTTGTTAATTTTTGAGGTGTCATATTTAGGAAAAGATCCTTTTTGAATAAGTCGATATATTAGAGGCGGAGTGTGCGATAGACTTATCTCCTCGTGGTGCACCCTGGGCAACGTATAGTCATACGGCAAAAAGTCCACTAACCAGCAGTTGACTTCTCACCTCAAACAACAACCCCCCCCCCCACTGTATGCCATTTCCGACTACTTCCACAGTACTCACCTCACCTTTTTTCTACCTTTGTATCTGTCTCTGAAACACTCTTCTGTTCCCCACCCCCCTCCTCTCGACTTTTTTCATTTTGATGTTCCTTCCCCTCTGTGAAGCTTGAAGTCAACTAAAGAGCTATTGATAACCATCAAGACGCCTGCCATTTGATATAAATAAATATATTAGAGGCTATTGTCGCAGCTTAGAAACCCTGGAACATCTTTCCAAATTGCTAACTTAAATATTTTCTAACAGCTCTGGGTCCTTTCAGGCTATAGAACGATAGCAAGTTTCTTTTATTTAAAATTTTGGGTGGACCAAGTATTCCTAGTGCAGTGAATTGTGTTAAAGAAAACGAGTGACAAGTTTGGTGTTATTGAAATCATTCCTGAAGTGTCCCAGTGTTTGGAGTGTAGAGAATCTTTTGCTCTGCCATAATCTTCCTCAAGTCGCCCCTTTGAATGTCCATCGATGTCTTTCAGCTCGTGGCTTGGACATTTCAAGTATTCACAATGTGGTGAACTTCGAAGTGGCCCGCGATATTGACACCCACACCCATCGAGTGGGTCGTACCGGTCGAGCTGGGGTCAAGGGCACTGCATACACCCTCTTCGTAGCTGGTCGCGATCCCGCGGACTTTGCCGCCCATCTGGTGCGCCACCTGGAATTATCCGGCCAAGTTGTGCCCGATCGACTTCTCACCATTGCTCGTCAATGCAACTGGTTTGTGGAGAATAGAGCCAAAGCGGCAGCTGCTAGAGCTGAGAACCCCCGACCGGGAATTGGATTCCAACCTAGGGAAAGACCACCACCCCCTCAAAGCAAAAGTAAATTTATTTCTGAATCATCGGCCTCGAGTCCTACCGCTGCAGGGAGTGGCACCAGCACATCACATCAGCAATTACAGTTTATGGCTATTCAGAACCCGACCTGCGGACCAGCTTCTTTCGCCGCGTCTAGTGGTAAGTTGACGAAGGCTGTTTAAAACACATTTGGGCTCAGTGCAGAATTATCTCAGTAGGGAACTAAATGACTTGTATAAATGTAAAGGAATGGTGAAGTAAATAACTGTTCTAAGTATTACGGGAAAGGAGATGAAGAGTATCTAAAGGGCACTACATACGAGTATGCAGGTAATGACATTGACGTGCATCATCAGTAAATCACATTCCCCTCCTTTCGAGATGCGGGTAAACCTATCACCGAAAGAACAAGTCTCTGTCGTTTGGTGTAGGTACTGCTATGAATAAGTTGCGCTTAGCAATCACTTGTATGGGATTGAGAAGTCCTGCTGGCCTATTGCAAAAAATTTGCTATCCCTCTCCTAACTCGGTAGCTGTAGGAAGGGGGCTGACAAAAAATGATTGGCTAACAGAAATTTGGAAGATCTAGAAACTGAAAACAGTCAAGAAGTACGGAAGGAAAAGCGACTTTAGATCACTGCATGACAAAATTTTTAATAGTATATCTGAATGGAAAGTTATTGTTATTGTTTAATTGTAGCAGTTTATTATGAATTACTTCTCTGTCACTATGCATGTATAGGCTGGAATAAATGCGATGACATGTGGTTTTTTCGTTATTCTAATTTTGTTGCTGCACCTATTAAGTCTAATAAACTAACCGTAATCCTTGGAGATCTTTATCGATGTGGAGTTTCGTGTAGTGGGCGTGTCTGCCAAGCTAGATGTCATGAATTCTATTTTAATCGATGTAGATCAAGTGGGGTGGGAGGGTGGGGGGTGTCGAAACATGCTTGGCAAGATTGAATGACATACGGTAGGATCCAAATTTTCGATACACAACTGACTAACTAACTCCAAGCACGTTTGATAAATGTGAAACTAGAGAAATGTTAACTTTGAAGATAAAACGGATGGATTTTAAGGTAGCCTCGGCGGATGATTGTCAATTGGTTTAGAGAAGCTCTCGTCCTACTTTTTGATGAGGACTTGTACTACGATGGTCCATTCTCATTACTGAGCTAAACTTCAATGGTGAAGCCTATGGATGCCCTTCAATTTCATTTCTCTGAAAGACTAATTTTTTTTACCATTTGAATTTCAGCCCACCAGTCAGACAGGTTAGCTTCTATGAAAGCTGCTTTCACTTCCCAGTTCACTCGTCGTTTTGTGTCGGCGGGTGTGGAAAAGACAAAGTATACACATCCAGAACGACTTGGAGACAATAGTCAATTCCAAATGCCACCTCCTCCGGCACCGTCTTCAGAAAATTCACAATCCTCTGACTCATCGCAACCGAAACGTCGAAGATCTCGGTGGGATTAAATGTAAACTTTTACTTCGCTGATTAATAAATTTGTAATGAAAGTTGAATTTTTCGTGATGTTACCACCATATTTTCGCCCTATTATAAGTAAATCTAGGGTGAAGGTCATTAGTTTATTGCGGTTCATTTTTGCAAAGATTTAAAAAATCACAGTTCGGTTAAATTTCCTTGGAGCGTTTCTGCGGAGTTAATAAGGTCCTAAATTACTTCATTAACTAACTTATTAAATTAACGTACATTAAGAGAATTAACAATTTGCTTGCGTCGTTTGCGTTGATTGTAATCGCTGCTGGGGAGAATGACGGAATCTGCAACTTCTAAATTCTTCATACAATTTTCAGAAATTTTTAAGAGATCTTTGGACTGGGTTGCAACAGCATTGGGACTGGAATTGATTAAAGACTTAAATAATTGAATTATAATGGGTTAAAGAACTTACAAGAAAGTCGGAGTTTATTTGCAAGCAGGCTAATTTCGATTGTATGGAAATGATAGAATCTTCCAACTGATCCAGTTTCCTGATTTCATTTGAGTCGGTGCAGTCCTAATAAACGTGAGGAAAAAATTGTAAACGGACCTTTTTAGCAGCCAATAAGATTGCCCCGGGTGTAATATTATAATCTGAAAGTGTTGCGTCTTCATTATCCAGTTTCACATCCCAGAACGTCAGTATATAGTCACTTCTGTTTACGTTTAATTTATTCTCAATTTCTGAATGTAAATCCCCTACTGTTGCATCAGCCCTTTGAACGAAACCTATGTTATTAGGTGTTCCATCTAAGAGGTAGATTCTAAGCATTAAGACACGAACCATAGAACACAATCGCGTAGAAATACATGAGCTTAGGTTGCAAATACTCTTAATTTAATATCTACTCATTTCAAATATGCGCATATTATAGCATCATAAGAAGGTCATTCTTGTCAATTAAAACACGTATTATTCCAGTTCTTTCTTACTAATTGCAATGGATATAACTTAGAATAATGAAAAATTTTAACTATGTTATTGTATTTTTAAGTACTGCTCAAAGTATTATAATTCGTTACACACTAGCATTGTCATTAAATCCCAGTGCTAATGTTGCTAAATTTTGCTAAATCGCTAAATTCTAGTTTGAAAGTTTAAGATGATCGTTTTGAGCTGGTGTTTGGAAATAAAAAATTTCTTTTTGTAATGCTGTCAAGATTGAGACATCCTTTTTGGCATCAGAATGCTTAGCATCCTAAATTAAGACATGGTAATGATAAAAAATTATAATTGTCAACTCGAAAATAGGTGAACGAATAAGGGAGCCAAAGTGAGCTAAGCATCAAAATGCAGTAATATAAGTGAAGAATTAGTTTTTGAGTATCTCATTTAAGTCTGAAAATTTAGTAGCAATCTTTTAATAGGCATTCTAAAATGTGTTAGTATATTTACTCAAATGATTCTTTTTAAATATACAGATATTGATGCAAAAGGTAAGCTTTCTGTTTGGGTTCTTCAAAATGTATCCCATCTTTGTTGGTGGCTTGCTGGTAAAATGTGGATTTTCTATTGTCCTATCAACCTTATCTTTGAGGAAGTTCATATTGGCCACTTTTTCTAACAACTTGAGGTTCGATCAGAGAGGCAAATAAATAACTACTCAGTTATTATTTAATGGTAAAATTCAAACCATGGCTTCTTATTGTGGTTGAATTAATTGTTGGCTTGAGTCAATGCAAAAAAATGATTTATTCGTCACTTTTCAATAAATATTAGGAGAATTTCATACATATGTGACGTATATTAGACAATTTATCATTTTTCTAACCCTCATTATTCATTAAAATCTTATTAGAAGCGGAATAATCGAATGACGGAGTTTTCTACCATAAGTTTTCACTAACAAACTTAACTAGGTTCTGTTAAAAATGGTGAGATTCTCGGAAATATGGAATGAATTGTAATTAATGAATCAATTGGAAGGTACAAAATGTAAACATTAATTTATTACCTTCGTTTCGCAAGAATATTATCAGCTAGTTAGTTAATAAATCATCATCAAGCCCAATAGGTAGTATGATCCAATTTTCCAGAATATATTAGCCTTCGTGAGAGTCCTTAATGTAATTTTAATGTCACTGAGTATAATACCTCTATTACCACTATTTCTTAGAGTGAAATGAACACTTGGAAAACCCAGTATGTAATACATAATGATCTGCCAATCGATTGAAATTTTTGGCCTTCTGTTTTACTACAAGCTGCATTTATTTTGCCGATAATCTTCACCTCAGACGTAAAATAGAAAGCAGCCACAGCTGCGAATAACCAGTTGATAAACGAAAAACTTCGAATATTGAATTTATATTCTTACGAGTTCATAAGATGCCATTACAGAGTTGATGTCAAAGCTAACACTTTCTAAGGAAATCGGAAATCGAAGTTATCCGTGACGAAAGCAGCAAATTTGATTCTTTTTTTTTGAAGTAGATGTCGTATTAGCTGAACATATTGGTGATTTGATTCAAAGAATTTATGACAATTTAAACTCAAATTTTAACGGTAAAATTCAAGTGTGACAGACATAATAAGTTTATAAGTTTACAAAAAAGTAGAATACAATTTATTTATGACTGAAAAATAAGTTCTAAGTTCTCAATTAGTAGGCATTTATGTAAGTTTTTTGCGAGAAGAATACACTAAAGGAATATTCTGCCAAGTTTTTAGTTAAAGTACTCAATTCCGAACTATGCTTTCAACTTCGAGAAGTATTTGATTTTATGAGCTCTCAATTAGTTGAAATACTTTATATAATTTATCTGATTGAAAAAATAAAATCACGATTTATATACATTTGACATACTTATACACAATGGTGTATGATTAATCATTGCACTCTAAAATGATTCGTACTTTTCTTATTACATTCCAGAATTATTATTAAACAAAAGCACTGAACAATTGCCAAAAGCGCTTGAATCTATAAACAGTATATAAAGATCTGGAACATCAAATAGACAATGCATGTAAGTACGATAATAGATTTTTAATGAGTAAATATAGCATTGTGTTTGGTTAGTCTATTCTATGGTTAATTTAGCCTGGATAGTCATAGGGTTTGTAAATATTTGTGATAATGCTCGCTCTCATTATACTATATGGTATTGTTAATTTTACAATTTATTTTGTGTAGAGGGCAAACCCCACCATATCAGTTTTCCTGATGGAACTAATTTGACGGTTGGCGATCTAATGTCTCTTGTGGAATCCAAATTCAATATTCGACGAAACGCACAAAAGCTTATATTCAGTGGCAAGTCTCTCGTTGAAGAAAGCACGAGCTTGGCTTCCTATAATATTAGATCCGGTTCCAAAATTATGCTCATTGGCAGGGTAACCTATTTTCTTCAAATACTAAAATCTTAATAGGTTGAAAAGACGGACCCGTTAGAACTACAAAAGCTGTCTGATCTTGAGGAAAATGTACCCACGTTATGTTCTGAATTTGACGAATTAAAATCGAAGCAGGATAGTTCCGTGAGTTAAATTCTCGACTTATTCCAATGGATTCTTTATTTAGTCAAAAACTATTTTGAAATTTACGGAAGTTTGTATGAAAAAACTCGAGTTAGCTGATTCCGTCGTCCTTCCTCCTGCAGCTCAGGAAGATCGAAAAAGACGAAAAGATGTGGTCAACTCTTTAAATGTAAGTCTTAGTGTTCTTTTCTGTAAGTATGGTTATGATAACTGTTTTTTTCTTATCTTAAATAGGAGTTAATAACTTCCGCGGAAGCATTGCTTGCTAGCTTGGAGGGCCCAAATGAATTGAAAAAATAGCTTTATTTGTAAAAATTCTGTAAATTTTACCACTGTACATTATTTGAATATAGTTTTTGTTTCTTATTATGGTTCTTGTTAAAGGAAGACGCTTGTCAGTGACTTCGGTCTGTGGCTAGTCTGCAGTTACTATTCTTCTAGCTTCAACATTATGCAAATGGGCTATGGAATGATCCGAAGTACAAGTATTTATTGTGGTTAAATGAAGACATGTTGGTAATGCCGTCTGTGGTCACTGATAGCCTAAACATTCTGATATCTACTGTGATAGGCTCAGTGAAAACTTCCCAGGTTTTTTTTGTATAAGGCGACAGAACTCAATTAAACTGATTTTGTGCTGTTCCCGTAATCGTGTAGAGCTTCGAGTAATTGAATAATTACGTTTATTGTGGATAATTTAATACACTGTATTAGATTTTCGTTAAATCTAGGACACATGCAAAAAATCGGAGGATTTGTGGACTGCGCGACAATGTCATGGGTCAACAAAGGAATTTCGTGTTCACAAAGACAGACTCGAAGGTGCGGGCATGCTTATTGTCCCATAGTGGAACGGGTGAACGTGATCGCAGAGACCCCTCCGCTAGCCACTTATTTAAGGGTTAGGGAATTATCCCCCGTCATACGTCTGCCTCCCCCGTAATGATAGTTATCATTAGTCCTATAGTTGACTTCAGGCTTCACAGAGGGGAAGGAAAATCAAAGTGATATAAATTCGAGAGGGGGAACAGAAGAGTGATTCACAGATACAAAAGGGACAGACACAAAGGCAGAGAAAAGGTAGGATGATTACTGTGGAAGCGGTCGAAAATAACATGTAGGGGGTCATAGTAGTTGGAAACCGGA